TCTTTCCCTTGTGTGTCATACTAAGCCTTGTGCCTCCAGGGTTGCATGGTGTTTGGGGAAAGGTTCTTTGGTTTACTCATCTTGGAGGGTTTTACACAATGGGGAATGACTTAGTCTATCTCATTTGATGGTGGCAAGGAGTGGCCAAGTCAGTGCTCAGACTGCACCTGTTAGGTTCCTTGGTGTTCTCCACCTGTGCTTGGCCATCTGATCCTTACTAGGTTGTTGTGTTTATGGTGGTTAGCCATTAAATACATAATCTAACAGCACTTCCTGAAAGCTAATCAGGAGAAATAAGTGTGCCCTCTTGCGTTCTATTCTGTGCATGCAGAGGCAGGGATGCAGGAAGGAGGATTGTACAGCCCCTTAAAGCAGGCAGGAGTATTCTAAGTGAGGTGGAATAAAGGCTGAGGAGCCTCAGTGATAGGCTGAGGACTTGCCTCTGGGCACAGGTGCTGGAGGGAACCTCGGTGCTCAGGACACATGACACTCAGCTACACACTGACTTGAGAAGACTCCTGTCCCCTAATAGGGCTGCAAGAACCCATTTTTTTTCTTTAGAGTTGGGCTTTCAGTATACCTTCAATGATTTTAAAATTCAGTGTCTTCAGAGCTGGTTCTGGTTATAGCCTTTCTCTGGCTCTTTTGAGGCAGAAGGCTGAATTACAACCACTGGCCTGAGTGCCTTGCAAAGACTTAGGTGCATTCTTGGAGTCGGTTCAGGAGTGGCTCAGGCCACTGCCCCTTTATGTAGTGCTTCCAGGTTGTAGTGTCTGTAGGCTGCAGGGGATGAACTTTGGTCATTGCAGCAGTGGCAGCATATTACCTTAAGATAGTTTTGCTACAGGCTTCAGTGCTTTTGTCACGTTATACTAGTCCTGTGCAACTCTCCAGGCTCTTCCTGGAGCCTGCTGTCCCTGCATTCTCCACACTGCTGTGGAATGCTCACCAGCAGAAGTCTGTCTGAATTGTAACAGGAAACTCCTTCCCCTTCAGTTTTGGTTTTGTCAGTTTTACACATGTTTCGCTTGTCCTTCTGAAAGCAACATCAGAGCTTTAATTTGCATGGAAGACAACCTGTTGAAATGCACTTGTTATAAAGGATGTGATGATGGAACTTACTGAGGCAATAGAAAAACTCTGTGTTAGCATCCATGTGTCTAGCTTCTCTCCCGACCAGCATGCAGGGTCTGAGGGCCCAGCATCTGTACCTGAACACTGGAGGGACACATCCTACTAAGAATCCCCCTGGAGCAGCTGAATGATAAATCTTGGAAGCTACACGTGGGCCATCATTCTGATCCAGCACAAGTGGAATCAGCTTGGGGACTGCTTGCATGATTTGGCCTCTTGAGGCTCAAGAGTTCTTTATTTTTCTTGTGACAGGATTACAGCAATGATTGGAGCCCCAAAGATACGGTCAGGCGAATGCAGAGAGGCAAGGTAATGACTTTCCACTCCCACCTGCTTGCAAGAGACAGAGAATGGGTGGTCCTAGACTGGCTTACAGTTTCCCATGCTCCTGCCTGTTCCAGGAGCAGAGGGGGGATCCATATTGCTTGCAGCATTTAGCAGGGATGGTGCTCTGCTTGCCTGCTGCTTTGCCAGGTGGCAGTGCTGGGATCACACTAGCACAGGAGCAGCAGGGTTTTGTTGCATTACTTACCTGAGTCATCCCCTCAGCTAGGCTCTGACAGGAGGTATCTGTGTTGCTGTGTCCTTCTCTACCCTTTCTGCTCCTTGGGGCTGGGTTTATGGAAAAAAGTCCGAGGGTGTGGGCTACTTAGTTGGTGGCAAATGAAGGGAGGAAGACCGAAGCAATCTTGGACACACTGGAGCTGGAATCAGTCTCAGCTGCCTCCATTTGCAGTAAGCACTCAGGCAGCTTGTGGTTTTACTCTGCATGTATCTCCTCAATGGCTGAGGTGAACTAAGGCTAAAGGCTGAGAGAGGCCATAGTTACAGGGTAAGATGAGAGGAAGTCTTACAACTCTACTTTTCTTGTCTCCCCTGTGGAGAGGGCCCTGCAGAGTTCCCTCCTTCTGTCAGGGCTGGTGGTTTGTACTGTGCAGGGAAGTTTAGCTTTGTTACAAGGGTGTTTGTGCTGAACGTACAATGTCTCCTTCCTAGCCTGGGCAGTAATAAGGGCTAATTCTGCAACCCTGTGGACAGATTCCCAGGGATCATGCAGCGTGTGATTTCAGCTAAATGAGAAGTTCGCTGCTGGTTAAGAGGACAGTTATTCATATTGCTGAAAGGCTTATGGGAGCAGAATAAGTAGTACCTTGGGGGTTGGTTCAGCCTGAGGCTTGTCTGGTATCCCATATAAGCCTACTAATACCTCTTCTGTCTCCAGGTCTGCTCTCTTGAAAGATTTCGCTCCCTGCAGGACAAGCTGGTGCTCTTGGATGAAGCTGTGGCAGGGCATGATGGAAATGTCATTACAGCCGTGAGTCCTACTGGGGCCATATAGGGGTGGGGCTTCCTGGGTGACCCCACAGAGGCTGCTTTTGTGAATGCAGTCAGTTGGCCACATAATCTTGCAAGGTGGGGGGTTGTTCTTTACTTAAAATGAAAAAGTTACTGAAAAGTGTAAAAGCTTAAGACTGGGGATTCCATATTCCCTCTGGCTTTCCTGCCACTCTGCAGAATTCATGCCAGGTTAATAACAAGGAATCTGATACTTCAGCCTTACAGATCTTTGCAGCAATTTCTTGAATGCCAAGGTTTAATTTGCTCATTGCAGCACAGAGGATTTGAGGGGCTCCTCCAATTTATCTGGCTTCCAAAGCATCAGTCACCAAATGGGACTCTGTCAGATCCTCCCTCCTTCAGCTCTTTTAAGCACTTGAATCTCTCATGGAAAGGTTTTCCTTTGTAAATCTTGGCCTCATCACTGAGGAGCTTAGCCAGGCAGCTGTGGACCTGGCTCACTGCCTGTCCTGTGTCTGGTGGATAGCAGAATTCAGGCTGTACAAGCTGTGTCTTCAGAGGCGCTTTGCAAAAACTTCCCCAGGCCTTGACTAGTTTGTTGTCTGTTGGTTTTAATTCTGGTGAAGACTGAGCTGGTCAGCTGAGAGCTGCCTCTCTGTGCTCACAGGTCCTGATATTCCTGAAAAGGACGCTAAGGAGAGGTAAGTGTGACTGGGGCCAGGGTTTGTGTTGTGTGTTTCAGTTAATGGCAGAGGGGCTAGTTCTTTCACTGGCTGCAAGTCGCAAAGAGAGCATCTGGGGTATTGCTGCTTTACTGAGAATGAAATATTTTTGCAGTGAGTGTAGCATGGGAGGGAGAATGGTGAATGCCCATGAAGGCCCCAGAGAGGAGCTTTGGGCAGCAGAGGGTGGTGATGGAATAAATGAAGATGAATCTGTAGGGTAGTGCGCTGTTGGGAATTCAGGTGGCAGCTCAGTGAAAGGGCTCTTCTCCTATGCTCTAGCCTCCAAGACTGTGCTTTGAGATGAGATTGGGTTGTTGGATCCTGCCAGTGGTTTGCAACTCCATGCACCATGCTTGGCCCCCCTCTGGCTTGCCAGTGCTAACTTACTTTACCCACCTGTACATTTCTCTCCTCAGAGATCTTGTTTCGGGAGCTGGAGGTGCGGCAGGTGGCCTTGTGCCATCTGATCCATTTCCTCAAAGAGACGGGTGAGCAGAAGTTGCTTCTGGATCTGCTCAGGTGAGGCTCTTGCCCAGCCTCATGGCAGGGCTGAGCACACTGCCAGGATCCTACCTTCAAGTTAATGCTTGTTCATTCTCTTTTGCAGGTTCCTAGACAGGACTGAGGAGGTTGCTGTGAGTATTCCCAGGAGCAGAAACTCCCTTTCCTCAGGAAAGAGGGAGTGTATAGTGGGCAGGGGGAGGTCAGCTACAAGGTGTCTGGTAGTCAGACAACAGCTTTGCATTCCTGTTTTGCTCTCTAGAGTCCTGTATCCCCCAGATTCATGAGAACTGACTGTGCTTCTTTTTTCCTCTCCCTCCAGCTGTCCCAGTACCGGGAACATTTGAACATACAGGATGTAGAAAAAAGGAGGGAGTTTCTGAAAGGCTGCATTGGGTAAGAAAAGATGCAGGAGGGTGGGAGGGATGTGAGTGCTTCACAGAAGGTGGTGGTAAAGAACATTAGACCTCTGCCACAGTGCAACAGCTTTTGTAGTTTGAGACTGATGTTGGTTTTGACTCAGTGGGAGTGGGGTGTTGTGGACACATTGTAGATCAGAGAGGAAGAATTTGTGATCACTAGTCCAGCAGTGTTTGCTGCTTACTTTGAGGCAAAGGTGCTTCAGGAACCTTCTGATCATTTACCCTCGAGGTTGTGAAAGATGAAAGCTTGGGTGCCTAAGCACTTGAGGAAATTGATAGCATCAGCTTTAGCTGATGTGAGAGGTGTCATGTAATTTTGCCTTCTCTGGAGCCTTTCTAGTAGAGAGCCAGCTGAACAGAGCAGCGGTGCAGGAGCTTGAGTACTAGCCAGCCTGGGTGGGGAGAATGGGAGGTGTTCCCCACATCTCTGTCTATGGGGAGGATGTTTGGTAGAGAAGAGAATCCTTCTAAGTGTAGTGTGTTGAAAGCTGCTGACACTGTCTCTTCCCTCCATGTCTGACCAGGCTGCCATTCTCTGCTGAGGATACCTCTCATATCCAAGACCATTATACCCTGTTGGAACGACAGATCATCATTGAGGTATGAAATCTTCCCTGGTGGAGATGACTGGGACTAGCTGCGGGATCTCTATCTGTCCCTGACAAACACCACTTTGGATCTAACCAGCCTGCCCTGGCTAGTGTGGTTTAACTGCTGTCTAAGCTGCTGTGCCACACACATGTGTGTAATACCACTTTGAGGCTGTGCTTGTGCGTTGCTGTCACAACATTCTCCCCAGGTCTCTCCCTGCAGCTAGGTCAGGCAGTTGCCCTGGCTCATGTTCACTCTTCCTGATTCCACAGACCAATGACCGGCACTTGGAGACGTCCGGGCAGTCAGAGATATTTCGGAAATATCCTCGCAAGGCTTCAATTCTCAACATGCCACTAGTGACCACCCTCTTCTATTCCTGTTTCTACCACTACACAGAGGCTGAGGTGAGAGTGGTGTGGGATAAGGGTTACAGCTCATCCCTGTATCCCTCAGTATGTGGGGTGGTTAAGCTGGGGCATGTTAAGGAAAGAAGGGGAGGGAGGTCATATTTTATCCCTCAGAGAGACCTGGAGGAATTTAGCACCCTGTGTCCACCTGGGACGAGTTTGGAGTTTTCTTTTGTGCTCTAAGATGGGACATTGAGCCTGGGACAGTGTGTCAGGGAGTTGCCTCCTGGAAATCACTGTCTGTTATTTCTGGCTTCAAGGACTCAAAATTGGCCCTTATTCCCATGAGTCTGAAATATGTGATATACTGATTTTGAAAGTGCTGGAGGTGTACCAGTTGAGGATGTAGGGGAAACCAAATCAGAGCTGATAGGGTGGGAGAGTTGCTCTTTTCTGTCAGCTGTTCCTCCTATTGCACTGACACGAGCAACAAGCAGTAAAAACTTGGGGAGATTCACCCTGTGTAAGGCAAATGCCTTACAAGAGGTGTCCTCTCCTCTTGCCTGCCCTGCTGAGTTTTCACTGGCTTGTCTGCTTTCTCTAGGGAACATTCAGCAGCCCGACCAACCTAAAGAAAACATTTAAGGTACGTGAGTCTCCTTGCTGTCCTGGCAGCACTAGCTGAAAATGTGGGCAACCAAATTGTATTTAGCAAGGAGGGGTGGGTAGAAGTTTGAGCAGCTCAGCACTAAGGTAGGGAGGGGGGCATGGCATCCTTCTTGACCAGGGCCATTCTGGAGTCTCAGAAAGGAAAGTGAGAAACGTGGAGGCTTTCACTGAGTGCACCTTGGCTGGCTGCAGCAGCACTTGCAAGTCCTGACCTTCTGCTTTCTGCAGTGCTGGCACTGGCGTCAGGCAACACCTGACCTCCTTGCCTGGCTGTTAGTGAGGGTCCTGGCAGGACTGGGGCAGATGCCATTCCTGCCCAACCCAACAGGCCTGAGCTGTGCTGGTGCTCTGACCGCAGCTTTCTGCCTTGCAGATTCCTGATAAGCAGTATGTGCTGACTGCCCTGGCTGCCCGTGCCAAGCTGCGAGCCTGGGATGATGTGGATGCCCTCTTCACTACCAAGGTGAGCTGCGGAAAGGGGACTCAGTTCCAGGTACTGTATCTACTACTGATAGCTGGCTTGTTCTGGAGTGACTGGACAGGCTGGTTTTATTTCAGCAGGGCCCAGCACTTCTGCTGCAGGGTGCTGCAATACATTCTTTCTTTCCCTGCCCAAGACCTCTGCTAGGCCTGGTTTGGCTGCGGCAACAGGGTCAGAGAAGGGGGCTGCTCCTGTGCTCTCTTACTGAAGGGTTTGCAGCCAGCCTGCACCCTGCCACTGCACAAAGGGCTCTGCCTATGACGCACATGGTAGCTGGTGTCATACATTGCTGGCACTGGGGAAAAGCATTTTCTGGTGGCTGGAGGGATTGTCTTTTAGGATTAACATAGGGTTTGGCTCTCATTTCAGAACTGGCTGGGCTACACCAAGAAGAAGGCACCTATTGGCTTCCACCGAGTGGTGGAGATCTTGCAGAGGAGTAGTGCTCCTGTGCAGGTGAGCAAGGAACTGCTGCTTATGTTCTCCTGCTTTTTGTTGGGATTTCAGTGATTCCCCAAGTGAGCTGTTTCCTAGCTGGGAGAGGAACAGCTTACTGAGCTGCAAGGTGGTAGCGAGGACTGGGTCCTAGGTCTGACTGCAAGAGGGACAGTGGGCCTACAGTTGTCTAGCATCTCTCTCCCCATGGTGCACTGCCACCTTTGTTTGCTACATTAACTTTTCTTTTGCTTAATCCAGCTGGCAATGGTTAACCTGATCCATAGGAACGAGGTAGCCTAGGACTCTGAGCTTTGTGAGCAAAGCTTTGCTGCCTCTGGGGCCCTGAACAGTCTTGTCCTGATCACTTGTTGCCTTGGAAAGAAAAGGGTCATGTCTGTGTGACCAGTGACCTTGGAAGGTTTTGTGGCTGGGGTGAAAGAAGGAGGCAGTAGGTACCTGCAGCAGGGAGCTGAGAGACTCTTCCTTCCCTCACAGGTGCTACAGGAGTATGTGCGCCTGGTGGAGGATGTGGAGACACGACTGAGCCTGGCCACCAAATACAAGTGCCATGATGTTGTCATTGAGGTACGTCCCTGCTCTGTGTGTGAAGAGATGGGACAAGAGCCTGCTTTCTCTCCCTAGCTTTCTTGTGCTCTGCCATGTGCCATTGCTGTTATGTGCCTGGCGGGGTTTGTTTTATCCCTGTGGCCTGGGAGTAGTGATACTGTTCCTGGTGGGAAGCAAGTGAGCCAGGAGAGTGGCCCCTAGTGTTTGTGCTATGGCGGGAACTTGAGGAGGGGATGAAGAGTTGCCCTGATCATCTCCAGAGCACCATCTAAATGTGTAAGTGTCCTCTTCACTCAGCTGGGTGCTGGTTTTGCTGTTTATCTAGACGTACAAGGATCTAAAGGATCGCATCCAGCTGACAGCATATAAATGCAAGGTGGAGCGTGGCTCTGCAGAGGAAGAGAAGATAAACAGCATTCTCAACAACATGGTAAGAAACACCTACTTTTTCTTCCAGAGACTCTCATCAGAAATGGCCATAAATTAGCTATAAGGGCATGGCTGTCCTACATACTTTTTATCCCTGCTGGGAAGCAAATATTGTGTTTGGGGTTGCATTCAATATGGGAATGAAGGGTGAAACTGATAGAAGTAGCACCCCATGGCCATAGTTGTTCTTGTCAGGGACTGAGGCATTTGTGTTCAGCAATGATGTTAGTCATACCTCATTGTCTCTTTTAGCAAATCCGATGGAAGAACTGAGCACCTGTGAAGCAGCCTGTTTGGCTGCTGCCTTGCCAGTGAAAGAGGAAACTGCAAAACCCAGCCCAGTGCCAACAGAGCAACTCTGTTACTACTCATTGCATGATCAACGTTCGTCAGTTACAGTGGCTTGTGGGACAGTGGCATTCAGGCTGGTTGAACACAGCTGCTCCAATGTAGCCAGCAAAACCATGGTACTGATCCACCAGGGTTGATTCTTTTTGGAATCTGATGCTCTTTGACTCGGCTATATAAGCCAGGCATTGTGTTTGTTTACAGAGGAGGTCTCTGGGCACAGCGAGGTTATGTTTGCTCCAAGTGGTGCCTGGGCTCATTCCTGCAAGAGGAACAGGTCAGTCACACTCATGGGTCTCTCCACCAGATGATTCTGATCACTCCCTGTAATACTCAAGCTGGCTTGGGCGTCATCAGTCATGGCTGTGGCTGGAGTAAAGCCTACTGGACTGTGTTCTCCCTGCATCAGCGTGTTGGGGGAAAGGACTAGCTGTACCTTAAAGCTTTGTTGGTTTGTTCTGGCTCACCCTAGGAAAAGAGGTGTTGTATGAACTCCTGCAGAGAGCCAGGACAGCAGCCTCTGCCAGTATCCTTGTGCTGGCACTCTGCAGCTCTTGGAAGATCCTTTTATTAGGGAAGAACAGGCCCGTAGTGTGGAGCGGGTCAGAGCCCTGCTGGGTTGGTTGGAAGGAGAGCAAGCAGGAACCCTCTCAGTTGGCACAAACCTGTTGGTCCCAGCAGCTCTTTTCTCAGTGTTACGCCAGGAAGGATTGAATTGCACTTTCTCAGAAACACAAGTCCTCAGGCACCTGCTGACTTCATCCTTCCAGACCTCACTTCAATTCCTTAAATAAAGCTGTCTCTTTCTCCTTGGGCTGTATATGTTCTTCCCACACTGAACACTTCATCACTCTGTGTGCTAATCCTGAGCAATTTATCACACCTCCCACTGAGTGAGTATGCGGGGTATTTTCTCATGTCCTGAAAAGCACAGTGTGTGCCACTGTGGAGCAGCTTTGCTTGCAGCAGTATCTTACTTCACACCTTGAATGCCGTCAGTACAGATGAATTAATTCTAATGTAGGAGACTTTGCTGCCACAAAAGCGAAGGTTATATGTAGTGGTGTAACAGTCTGAGGACAGGTTTAGGCTCCAGCCTCCCTTTTTTTTTTTTTTTTTTTTTCCCTGTTGGTATTGGTTTTGTTTGGTTTTGGGGTTTGTTTTTTTTTTTCCGTCATGGAATCATTTAGGTTGGAAGGAACATCTTAATATCTAGTCCAATCCTGCTCAAGCAGAGTCATCTGGAACAGGCAGACCAGGACTGTGTCTATTTGAGTTTTCAGTATATCCACAGCTGGAGACAACTTGGCTTCTCTGGGCAACCTGTTCCTGAATTTGACCACCTGCACAGTATAAAGGTGTTTTCTTGTCTTCAGATGGACTGTCGCATTCCAGTTTGTGCCCACTGCCTGTTCTCATCATTGGGCACCCCTGAAGAGTCTGGCTCCCTCTTCTTCATTCCCTCTCATCATGTATTTAAACACATTGAAAAGTTCCCCCTGAGCCTTCTCCAGGTTGAATAGTCTGAGCTCTCAGCCTTTCCTCATACAAGAGATGGTCCGGCCCTTTAGTCATCTTTAGTCATCAGCCCTTTGCTGAACTCTCTTCAGTATGTCCCTGTCTCTTTTGTACTGAGGACCCCAGAGCTGGACATAGCGCTCTGGATTTAGAGAAGAAGAATCACTGTGCTTAACCTGCTGGCAACATTTGTCCTAAGGCAACCCAGGATGCTGTTGGCTAGGGTAAGGTTTGCTTCCAGATCTCTCATATGCCCTAGGCCCAGGCATTGCTTGGTTGTAGGACCTGGAATGATGTCAGTGGTTAGGATTTGTCAGGGAGCAATGGGAGAAACTGAATGTACCTTTGGAGGAATCTGATGAAGCCATAAAATAAATCTTCACATCTGTATTCTCTAAGCATGGGTCCTGGATGCCACTCTTGTGATTTGACCCATGATATGTAAGATGTGCAAGGAGATGTGTCAGTCCAGCAGCAGGGAGCTGTGATCTGACTATGCTTACTGATGCCCTGACCCCGGTCTGCAGTCTGTAGGATGCAGTGTGCCGTGTGCATCCCAAGAGCCCGGGTAAGCGCTCCCCAGCCCAAGCCCGCAAATGGGACTGCACTTACATGGACTTTTAACTCCATTTTTTCATTGCAGTTCATGCAGAACTCACTAAGTAATGTTTTTCTGCTAAAAATAGTGAAGGTATAGAAACTCCTCCCCTTTCTTTTTTCTTTTAGTTGAAAAGCAGAGGATGCTGTTGTAGAAGAGATCATTATTTGGTTGGAAACCTACTGTGCACCAAATATTAATTTAGTTGTTTGCCTTTTTTTTTATCAGTCCTTTCCCAGTGTGTTGGAGACATCAACCCTGTTCTTTGGATGCTGGCTAGTTTAAGGCCCATTTTAGTTTAGTCCCACCCATTTTTGTGGCTTTTCAAAATTCTCCTTGTCATTTGGCAAGAACCTGGTGAGTGAGGCTCCAGGTTGCTGAATATTCACCCAACAGAGAAAGCATCTCCCTAAATGAATGGCAGTACTGAAACAGAGATGGCCCTCTACTTGTTTCATGGCTGCAGGGGCAGTTGTAGCAGACAAGCTGCTTGCTAGGCTCTGAATTTCCAGCTAGGAGAGATCAGCCTGCAGCATTACAGCAACTGTTTGCATAAGAACTGTCAACTGCCCCATAAACTCTTATGTAAAACAAGACAAGTGGGGAGAACAGTTCTCCAGGGAGATACTTGAAAAAATAAAATCCTCTTTCTAACCATCTCGGGGCAGAAAGGAAGCAGGGATTATTAAATAGCTTTTTATATATCTTGAAAACTAGCCAGATCCCAAGGCTTGGCTGTTTCAGCTAAAGGTTTTACATCAGCCTGTGTGAACCGGGGCCAGGCACCTGAGCTCTCTGCATGTTTATTCCTGGCAGAGAGGCTGCCTGCTCCATGTCACTCTGCTGCTGCCTTTGCCGTGTAGGAACAGTGATGGGCAGCAGCAAAAGTCCCTCTGAGCCACTTTGGGTGGGCAAGCCAGCGGTCCCAGCCTCAGGGTGATGGTTTGTGTTTCACTTGTATGTGGCAGAGCACAGGTAACCACAGTGTGGTGCCTGGAGGTGCTGGTCTGTCACCCATGCTGGTTCTGTAGACTTTCGAGTCCCTTTCTCCTTGCTTATTACAGTAGACCCTGCAGAAGCAGGGCCTGGCATGCTTTTACAACAATCAATGCTCAGCTGGTAGCCTGGGCAGATGTTGTGTTCCTCTGCTGCCTCCTGTCACACGTGCTGTCCGTCTGCTCTGTCATTCGGCCTGACATCCAGAACCCCTGTGTTGTGTACAACCTTGTCACTGCCGTTCCTCTCCTCAGGTACAACAGACCATTATATTTCAAAGCCCAGATGTGCTGCTATCATTTGGGACCTCATGGGACACAGCTCTTAATGCCTCTCATGATTCTATTGTGAAATGTCATTGCAGACCTTGTCACGGTCACTTCCCCAAGTCCCCGGCTGCTGGAGTCTTGAGAACACTTCAGAGTTTCAGCATTCTGTTTGTCTATAAGAAGTTGTAGACTTTGTGGCTATAAATATAAAAATATCATCAGAAGCAGTCTCCAGGAGCATCCTCTCCTTCCCCTGGTATACTTGTTTCGGCTGCCTCTGTTTTTGGGTTGCAGCACCTGCCATTGTAAGGCTGCAGCACCAGTGCCCTGCTCAGGAGCCTATGTATCCACGAGTGAGGGGTGAAAGGGACAGACCCTGCTGCTGTGCGGGCAACATGCCTCTGCAGTGCCCCAGGTAAAAGATCTTTTTGCCTAAACTTGGTAGCAGTTCTTCTGAGGAGTTGCACTTGATGGTTCCTCTGCCTGTAGGATTCAAAGCTGGGTCTGGGATGGAGACAATTTTGTTAGTTTGTAGGGCAGTGTGGAAAAAAAACCCTCCTAGAGAAATCCTGCCACCGTACAGCTAAAGCTGGAGTGG